AACAGCAAGAGTTAAGTTATTAGGGACAAATCTCTTTCTGATCATCAAAGATCCTGCAGCATTGTCCAAGAAACATCTCAGGACCTGAGGAATTCACCTTTTTCCCCAACAGAGATGTCTCATTTGCCTGTATTACATCTTGTTCGAATCCTGAACAGCTTCAGATTGTTGGTTTCATGTATTTATTGGACTTTAATTTGGATCCTTCCAACCGGTCTGAAAGCTAGAAGGGCTGAGGGAACCCAGTGATAGAAGCAATTAATACTAAGCACTGGCAGTGCCTCCGAGTCTGGCACAACAGGGTATTAACTTCCTTCCCTACTTCCCTACATACTTCCAGATGTTCTGCCACAGTGCAAAGTCTCCCCTCAGAAATGTAACAATCCATCTAATAGTTGACGTCAATGATGAGGAGACACAGCTGTCACTCCTCACAGATGAGAACGGGGAAGCTCACTTCACACTGGATACCACCAGCTGGAACAGCACGATGGTTTCTCTGAGGGTGAGTATGAGCCACTGAAAATCTTTTGTCTGGTGTGGGGTGTTTCCCATGAAAAGATAAAGGAGGAAAAATGAGATTATGGTCAAATCTACTAGGCTTAGATTTTTGCTAAAACTTTGTAAGAGGAAATCTCGTAAGAGACTTTAAAATGACATTTCAGCAAATTATTTTAAGCATACAGATGTGCACTCTGCCATCAGCTCAGGTGATAAGAGAGCTTCAGCAGGTGTACAAGTTCCCTTGCATGACTTGATACTAATTGTATTGCCACCTTGTGTTTATGTGCTCGGAAGGGTACCTACAACCCTCCAAGTGATGACAGACCGTCTTTTGAGATTGAAGGAGAGGACAGCTTCCACTGGCTGAAACCTTTCTACTCTGAGAGCAACAGCTTTCTTGAGATCAAGGCCAAGGACGATGTGATGTCCTGTGATCAAGAGCAGGAAGTGCAGGTGGATTATATCCTTTCCCAGAATAAATTCAGCTCTGAAGAAGACCACATTGATTTCTACTACTTGGTGAGCACAGAAGACAGCTGATTCTCAGGGCAAGGTTATGCTTACTGGCATTTTACCCTTTCCTCACAGCACAGAGATACTCAAAGAAAGGTAAAGCTACTCCTAGACAGTCAGTTTGTGATAGATAACTATCTATCAAAACTAGATAGTTTGTGACTTCTGTTTTGCCCAAATCTGTGCCTGCTTTCCAGTTCCTGGACCTGCTCCTAGCCCCCAGCTGCGTTGCTTTGTTATCCATGTCTTGACCTAAGCTTGGGTGATAGATGCTTGCCATTTACCCTACTTTCTCTTATGTCCACATGGATGGCAGTGGAGGGCTAGCCTGAACTCTGCCCAGAAGGTGTGCCCCAGATGTCTATCTGTGTCTGGGGCAATCTGTCTGAGAGCTAAGGGGCAATCTCTGGGGCAGCTGACATTTCCCCGCCTGTATCTGTGCAGGGAAAAGCTTGAAAGGCCCTTGCCTTGATCCACATCAGAGGTATGTAATAGTGTTTTGATGAAGTCCACTTTCAAGAAAGTGAGTCAAAACAAGGGTGTGACTAAAGACTAGCTGAGAGGGTATGACTGTCTTGGTTACTGGACTGGACTCACTCGTACAATCAAAAAGTACTGTATCCTAGTAATGCAAAGATCAGAGTTCTCTGGGTCTTAAGAGCAGCTGTCCATAGCTTCAGAAGTACCTCTGGCTTTGCAAGCAGCCCCCCTTCTCATGGTCCAACCAACAACTCTCAAATCCTACCAAGCTATACCATCAACATCTCTGCTGCAGAACTCTGGAAATCATATCCCTCCAGAGGAACTTCTGGGGCAACATTTGTCAGACATAATTCTCTCTTCTTGTGTTCTTTTCACACTGTCATACTCCCGGGATTCAGACCCTTGAATGGTGCTTCTCTTTGTTCTTCAGGTGATAGCAAAAGGCAAGATCCTTTTCAGCAGAGCAAAGAAGGTGCCAATTACCCAGCACGAGAGTGAGTAAAAATATGAGAAGTGTCTCATAACACACCCCAGAAAACTGACAGCTCTCCAGTGACTGTCTGCAGGTGTTATTCTTATCCACAGGTGGGAAATAAAGAACTGAGTTCTTAGTGGTGATTCTTTTCATAAGACCAACACAATCTCCTCTCAATTTAGTGTCTTTATATGCAACTATCCTTCTTTCTTGTCTAATTGATCTAATATCCAGTCTTATGACTTTGCTGCTAACTTGTACCTTTGGAGAAGACGCGAGTCAAAGAAATGGCTGGTATGCTTGGTTTATTGTTAGTTTGTGACACTGTCTGTGTGGGGTGTTCTTATCTGCAGGTAGAAAT